CCAAAAAAATATGTTGCAAAAAACCCAACCTTAAAATTAAGAGGCTTTTTTACTAAATTCTATAATAAGTAAATATATAAAGAAGAACAGAAAATATGAATTCTAAAATGAAAATAGTACTTAGAAGTTTATAAATTTGTATTTTGAGGTTTGACTTCTTTTATATATTATTATAGTTTTAAAAAGTTTAAGTTTTTCCCTAAAATTTTATTACAATAATTTTATTAAATTATTACAATTTATTTATAATATTAAAAAAGTTCAGTTGGTCAGATAATTATCGGTCAACCAACTTTTGAGTAAACTAAAAAACCGACCAACCAATTTATTCATGGGTCGGTAAAATTATCGGGCCGACTATATGGGCCGCTTACTCATCATTAATCGGCCATGAAAAGTGGGTCGTCGAAAGTGGGTAGGTTGACCGATGAAACCTACTCATTCCCAACACTACATTTGCATAATTCCGAATATATATTCAGTTGAATATGTATCTTTTTTATTTGAATTGACACATTTTGGATCTAATGGCATTGAAACTCCTTCGGAGTGTGTTTGGATGAGATATTTGGGATTTGAAATGACTCCAATTTGGAGTCATTTGAAATGCACCTCAATTGCTCCAAAAACAACTAAATTTCTTATCAAATCTCTTAAGCCAAACAAGTCCAACTAATTTGTTATTGTGAATTTGAAATCCCTCCATCCAAATGCACCTTCATATTTTTAATGGGTCCGTTATTGAATATTTGCAGTGATTTAATAATTTTCCATTCACTAAAAGATGATTTTGAGAAAATAAATTTGATCTATTTATATAATCAAACTCAATATTTTCCAACTGAATCAAGAAAATAAACAAATTCTTCATGATGAAGATATACCTACTGACCATTCATTATATGCAGAATATTAATCAATTTGATATTTTTTCGATAATAAATACAATGATAATTTCAGTCATAAAATTGTGTAACTAAATATAAATAGCTATTGCCACAAATCAATGTAATCAACTTCTTCCTCCACGGGCATCGTCCCATAGTAACAAACATTCGAGTAATCAATTACCATATTCGCCGTTTCGATCTCGTCTGTGAAATGATTATTATCGATAAAATAATTCATCTCCGTATCCATCCATTCAAATCCATGATCATCTGGTGACGTGGAGTAGCTTTCCATTAATTGCTCTACGTCGGAAAAGGGAGAATCTTCTGAATATTCGTCTGATGAAGTACTGCAAGTCTCATCAGAACTGCAGGAATATTCTTGATCCACAATATCGAACCTTTGATCATCAGATCCATTAATAATAATATCTTCGACTTTTGAATCGTCGTCGTCTTGCTCGAGTAAAGACATAACAAGTAGTGAACAGCTGTCAATATATTCTAAGAGCTCAACCTCATTCAAATCATCGTAACTCTGCTGATTCGAAAAGTAAGTTTCATTTGCTGTCGAAAAATTGGCCATTTATTATTAGAAAAGGGTACTTGTGTATATATATAGATATATATCAAGAACGAGAGATAAAATATGAAGATTAGAAATTTAGAAGAAGTAGTTTTCGAAATCTCCGATAATGTCTTTCTCAAATGAGTGTACGCATATATATATATATATATATATATATATATATATATATATATATATATATATATAGGCATAGGCTGGTCATATATATAATATATATCGATATTATCACGTGCAACTACCATGGATGCATGTGCATTTGTTTCTTTAATTTATTTACCTAAGAGTTGTTGTTAGTTGGTTAATGAAGTTATATCACATTATATATATTAATGTTTTAAATTTTGAGATGAGTCATTTCATTGCCCATGTGAACAGCTAACTTTGGTGATCCTACCATTCATGCAGTACTACTACTACAATAATATTTATATATTATTAATATTTAATAATGATTCGAATTATTTGGTCCAAATTAAATTTGTCATGAAATAACCGAACATGATGCTGATTATTCTACTCCAGAGGCTCTGTCGGCAGCAGAATACAAAAGAAAGATAAGATAATAATCTAATAAATTGCATATGATATAAATATATATATATGGCCCGGTCGACATGAAAAAAAAAAAAAGAAGTTGATCAATAATTAAGATCAATAAAATCAAACTAATAATCTCTCATCACATGATAAACAGATCATGACAGCATCCACATATTCATAATAGTTAATAGAAACTGTAATTTTACACAAAACGAGTACAAAGTAGAGCATATTCCATGGAATATAGATGATTTTAAATTTGACACCATAAGGTTGGAGGTGTATGAAGATTCATAGTTGATGGTTATATGTAATTATCCAAACAAGGGGGGCTTTTCGTTATTTAACCATACCTCGGGGGTACGTAGTTGTAATTTACCCTTTATGGTAACAATAGAACAATTGATGATGTACAAAAAGAAAAAGAAACAAAAGGCAAGCTAGGACAGTTGAGTCATGAATAAATACAGACAAAATTATTACAGATTGAATTTCAATACTAAATAAAATTAGATTCTATTCCAAACAAATTATCAATGTCCGAATATAATTACATAATTATTATTTATACTATTATTTGTTTTTTGGAACAGCAACAAACAAACATTACAAGTGATCCTGAAATGCAAAATCAATGATACATAGAAAAATTAATGAGATACGTACAACTCACATGCACCAGTCTAGTAAAAATTCAATTAGGAATTTGACGAATATTCAATCTTTCAAACGTATGGGATCTAATCAAACATTATAAATTCATCTGTCTACTGTTCTATACAAATCAAAGATAATGTTGATCAATTTTGGAATCAACATGACAAGGCTGCACGTGTACGTTGATCCAATAACTCCAGGTAATAAATTAAATAATTAATTAGTCAAACGCTTTAGACCTAAAACTCATGCATGTAAAATTGATGGGAGCATCAAACATTGTCATGTTTGTTTATTTCATGACAATGTGAACTATATATTATATTCTTTTTCCTCATAATTCGAATCTTCAATAATTAATCATCGCTCGAGGAGAGGGAAATTTATTTTTATAAGTTAATTAATCTTCAATAAGAGCATGAATGGTAGGATCACCAAAATTATCTGTCCACATGGGCAATGCCTCTAACTGAAAAATAAAAAATTAAATACATGCATAATAACCCAACAACTATTAGGTAAAGAAACAAATGCACATGCAACCATGGTAGTTGCACGCAAGGGCGAGTCCACCCAAAGGCTAGGGTGGACTCAAGCCCCCCCTAATTTTCTTAAGTTTTTCTAGTATATAATATCCCTATTATTATATTTGATTTTTTAGCCCATTAATATATTATTAAGTCCACTTGTTTAAAGCCCAAATTGGTTAATTTTACAATTACCTCTTCTTTTCTTTCCTGAACATTCTCTCATGTTCCTTTACAGAAAAGGACAAAAAAAAACGTTCTATCGTTCTTCTACAGCCTTTGCTTGACGGAAAACACCACCTACCGGCAATCAGGCGCCCACAAAGAAAACAATATTTTAGGTTCCAAATATTCTAATTGATTAAGGTTTGTCGACTTTTTTCTCATCTTAATTTTCAAATTGTACATTAATTAGAAATCGATTGTGTAATTTTATCAATCAACTTGATATTTATGTTTCTTGTTTATGTATTATCTTATGAAAGTGAAGGTAAACAAATGGAAATTTGGAAAATGGAAACTCTTATAAAGTGATTAATTGATGATAATGGTAAAAAATAAATTTAAGGAATTAGGGTTTATTGAATGTGGATATAATTGACAAAAAGAAAGAAATTGAATTGATAAATTTTAGTACTGGTTAATTGAACTGGTGAATGAGAAGAAAAGGAAAAAAAAAAAGAAGAAGAAGACAGACAGTGGGAGTTTTGGTTTCCTCTGCTTCTGTTTCCTCAATTCATATATAATACAGGAGACTTTTCCCCCCTCAATTCTCATGAAATATAACAATATTATTATTCTATTAATCCACTACTTATTATTATAATATTATTACATGAAGTGGCATTATTAAAATAATAATTATTATTAGTACATAACTACACCAAAATATGATAGTTTATGAATTTGAAGTTCTTTTTCTTTAATTATTACTATTTTGAGCCTATTATCTTTTTACTGATATATTTTATTTTGTCTTGTTAAGTAGCTATGTTGAGAAATTTAAAGAGAAAAACACCTCCTCCCAAGGTGGTGATGAATCTTCTTCCAATAAACCACTTCGAGATATCAATTTAGAAAATCTTTCTGCAGATCCTGGACAAAGGCATGGTATCGAGACCAAGTTCGTACAACATATTTGCAAACATGTCCTTACCAACCGAATAACCATGTATTTCCTTTCACAATGTATGGAAAGCAAAATAGAAAATTTAATAAACTTGGTTCGCCGAATATAGTACTTGGTTGGAGTATAGTGTATCCAAAGATGCTGCATATTGTTTATGTTGTTATTTTTTTAAGCCAGACAACGGAGGTCAATTGGGTGGTGACCATTTTGTTACTCAAGGATTTAGTAATTGGAAGAGAAATGAAAAGTTACGTTCTCATGTATGAGGTCCTAATAGCGCACATAATGATGCTTGGGGAAAATGTGCAGATTTGATGAATCAAAAGCAACATATTGAGACAGTTGTTCACAAGCAGTCGGATCAAGAAAAAACGAATTATAAAATACGCTTGAATACTTCAATTGAGGTGGCTCGATATCTCTCAACACAAGAATTGGTATTTCGGGGTCATGATGAAAGTGAAAGTTCGGCTAATCCTGAAAATTTTATTCAACTTGTGAAAACCTTTGGCCAAATTAATCCAGATATCAAAGATGTTACTCTGAACAATGCTCCATAAAACCATAAGATGATATGTTCAGATTTTCAAAAGGAGATTATAAATGCATTTGCAATTGAAATTCTAAAAGAAATTATAAGTGATATTAGGGATTCGACATTTTGTCTAATGGTTGATGAAGCACGTGACATATCAATGAAGAAGCAAATGGCCTTGGTGGTAAGGTATGTCAACAAATCTGGTAGTGTGATTGAGCAATTTTTAGGGGTTGAACATGTTACTGATACTAGTGCTTTGACTCTTAAAGCAACTATTAATGATTTTTTTTCTCGATATGGATTGAGTGTCTCTAAATTACGAGGTCAAGGTTATGATGGAGCTAGTAATATGAGAGGTCAATTCAATGGCCTAAAAATACTCATCTTGAAAGAGAACTCTTGTGCATATTATATTAATTGCTTTGCTCATCAGCTACAATTAGCTTTAGTAGCAGTTGCTAAGAAGTACGGCCATATTTCTTCACTTTTTGATTTTACTACAAGAGTGTTGAACATTGTTGGTTCTTCTTGTAAACGTCGCGATTTTCTTTGAGAGAAGCAATCTGAAAAGATAATTGAGGCACTCAATTTGGGAGAAATTTCAAGTGGGCGAGGTCTAAATCAAGAAACAAATCTCAAGCGAGCAAGTTATATTAAATTTATGCTTTAATAATATGTTTTTACCTTTTTTATTAATGTCTCATCACTTCTCTTTAATATTTTTTTTTAAATACGTAGGTGATACACGTTGGAGCTCTCATTACAACACTTTGTTGAGTTTGATCCATATGTTTGATGCAGTAATTGATGTAGTTGAAGTTATTGGTCGCGATGCTTCAAGTACAAATCATCGGATTGAAGCACAAGATATTGTTGATAGGTTTTTGTCATTTGACTTCGTATTGAGACTATTTTTGATGAAAAATGTATTGACAATCACAAATGAGCTATCTCAAACACTTCAAAGGAAAGATCAAGATATTGTAAATGCAATGAGATTAAATGTAACCATATTTTATAAGAAACACAAAGTTGATGTTCCTCAAATGAATGTTAAATATGTTGCTCGAGGACGAAGAAGACGAAATGAAGAAGAAATGTCAAACCTACATCATTATAAGTTTGAAACGTTTTACACTATTTTGGATATGCAACTTGGAGAATTAAATGCTCGATTCTCTAATTCAACAATGGAATTGCTTGTGTGCATTGCTTGCCTTGATCCATCTAACTCATTCTCTCACTTTGACAAGGACAAATTACTTCGTCTTGTTGAATTTTATCTACAAGACTTCACCGAACTTGACAAATGCAAGCTCAATGATCAATTGGATACTTACATAGTTGATATGAGCTTAAGCAGTGAATTTCAGGGGTTGAATGGAATTAGTGATCTTGCTCGCAAAATGGTAGAAACCAGGAGAAACAAGGTGTATCCTTTGGTTTACCTGATTTTGACTTTGGCATTAATGTTGTCGGTTGCTACTACTACAATCGAGAGGGCATTTTCGGCTATGAGTATCATAAAGAGTAGATTGCGCAGTCGGATGAGAGATGAGTGGTTGAGTGATGCTTTTAAGAGTTTGATTTATGCTATCTAGTTAAATTCTATTTTTAGTCACTTATGTGTGTGTGTGTGTGTGTGTGTGTGTGTGTCTATATATATATATATATATATATATATATATATATATATATATATATATATATATATATATATATATATATATATATTGGGGATTTGGTAGTTGTAAATTCGACCATTGAACTGGTTGTGATTGAATCAAGATTTGAACATTGTAAGTCAAAACCAGAGTTACAATATTTTTTCTTCTGGATCGGATGTGGTTTGGTTGTGAATTGTGATAAGGTATGTGGTAATTGACATAGGTGATGGAGCAAATCAAACTCATTTGTTTGTTGAAGAGTACATCCGGTGGTGCCAGTATTTGGCCAGCGAAGATGAACTAATCGACTGGAAAAAAAGATAAAAACAAGGGAAATTAATGATGTTAAATTCGTGCCGGTTTTCTACATTTATTTACATAGGAAAATCTCCAATGGACATTTACTATTTTATTAATTTTATGTCCGTGCAATATTTATGTTGATTTCACGATTATCGCCCTAATTTGTGTACTCCTCTTGTTTACTTGCAGAAAATATCTTGAAATATGTCTCCTTGGTCAGCTAGTGTTTTGCCTTTATTTTGTAAGTTGGAGCGAATATTTCTTCTGTGCATGGGTCCGCTGCTTGATGTTCGGATTGTAACCCCACATTCACCATGGATACGTGGTAGGGTACCCTGATTTACTCGAGCTTGGAGATTCGTGAATGTACTCGTCATGTACTCAAGCAACATCATTTTGGCGGTTTCTGCGAGAACCGAAGCCATGTGAAATTCAATTTATATATATGTGTGTGAAATTCATCATAGACTGTTACATATATTATGTAGCCCAATGAATTATATATTATTGTTTTTACATTATTATATCAAAATACATATACCGCAATAATTGATTAGTTTTGCATGGGCCGTGTCATTCGGACCGGATAAAAACTTCACGTATTGGTGCTTATCGGCCCAAACCTAAAACACAACCCAATTAAATATTACTGACAAAACTCCAATAAATTATTTAACCTAAACTGTGGTCCTATTTTCTCTGCAAAAACTCAAATTACCAGTAGCCGAAAGAACTCGTAAAAATGGCGGCTCAGGTGAGAGAGCCGATACGATCAACATCTGAAGAAATGACGACAAAATTTCAAATCCTAGTAGATTCTCAGGATATGTATTATATCAAGCAATCACAGAACCTCATGTACGTATCTATACATCAATCGTATGTAAAAAAATAAATAAATTGTGTAATTGCTTCTATTAGCGCCTGTAGTTATAATCATTAATCTGCATATTAGGAAGATTGCAGGATAGTAATTCGAATAATACACGCCTCTTGCGAACCATGAAATCTAACCTTGATTACATCTTTCAAAACCTCAGGTATGCAAATTTCTCCCTTTTGCCCTTTTCATTATTATTATTAAGATATGAAAATTATTGTTTTTTTTTTTTATGTTTAATTGTTGTAAATTGTTACGTTCTTATAAATGTATTAATTATTCTATTGATTTCTCTCAAGTCTAGTTATTCTAGGTTGTGTTTGACTCTGAACATTCATAATTCCCAGAATTTGCATATCATACAATCAATTTGGTTCAATTTGAGTACTATAGAATTTTTTTTCTAAATTTTTTTTGTTGGATCTCATGGAATATCTAAAAAATACTCACAATTTTTTTTCTAAATTTCTTTACGGATTTCCTTAATGTTCGTCTTGTATAAATTTATAATTTGATACTCAATTAGTTCAATATTATGTCGAACTTGAATTTCTAGTATCATCGAACATAACTTACTTGTGCAAAATACGGTAATGAGTTTAAAATCTTCACTAATATGATACAAATTGTTATATATATTTCTTCTTCAACAACATTCATATTGTTGTGGCTGGCTGATGGATATGGAGCTAGTCTGAATATTAATTAACTTTTTGTCGACCTATATACTTTTCCTCCTCTTCTGAAGAAGGAATAAAAATTGTTTAATCCACTTAACCTTACTTTTGTTGTGGAATAAACTTTTGATTTCGGTTCAAGTGTTAATACACTTATATATTATTACACTTGAGGTTTAAACATACATGTTTACGAATTTCGGATAGTTAGTATGTCATTAAGATTTTGTTTTTAATATGTAGGAGCATGAAAGGAAATATTGTGGCGACCTATCCGAATGCTTTTCCTCATAATTTCACAATTGAGGAACTTGATCAAAGACCAGACCTCGAGTTGGCCAAGTGACTGTATATGTTTAAACTTTTGTGTATTATAACATGGCTCTATGTTTCATGTTTTTTAAACTATTTTTATTACTTTAAGATGCAAGCAACTATCTTGTTTTGAATGTGTAAATATAAATGTGGGGATTATGTGGTTGTAAATTCGACCATTGAACTAGTTGTGATTGATTCAAGATATGAACATTGTAAATTGAAACCAGAGTTACAGTATTTTTTTCTTCTGGAATGGATGTGGTTTGGTTGTGAACTGTGATAAGCTATGTGGGAATTGATATAGGTGATGGAGCTAATTAAACTCCTTCGTTCGTCGAAGAGTATGTCCGGTGCCGGTATTTGTCAAGCGAAGATGATCTAATCGACCGGAAAAAAGTTAAAAACAAGGGGAATTATTCATGTTAAATTTGTGTCGGATCCTTACATTTATTTATATAGGAAAATCTCCAATGGACATTTCCTATTTTATTAGTTTTATGTCCGTACAATATTTATGTTGATTTAACGATTATCGCCTTAATTTATGTACTCTCCTTGTTTACTTGTAGAAAATATCTTGATAAGTGTCTCCTTATTTAGTTAGTGTTTTGCCTTTATTTTGTAAGTTGGAACGAATATTTCTGATGTGAATGGGGTCTGCTGCTTGATGTTTGGATTGTAACCTCACGTTCACCTTGGATACGTGATAGGGTACTCTGATTTACTTGAGCTTGGAGATTATGTCCTCGTTATGTACTCGAGCAACATCATTTTGGTGCTTTCTACGAGAACCGAACCCATGTGAAATTCAATTTGTATATATGTGTTTGAATTTCATCATAGACTGTTACATATATTATGTTGCCTAATGAATTATATATTATTGTTTTTACATTATTATATCAAAATACATATACCGTAATGATTGATTAGTTTTGCATTGGCCGTGTCATTCGAACCGGATAAAAACTTCACGTGTTGGTGCTTATCAGCCCAAACCTAAAAAACAACCAATTAAATATTACTGACAAAACTCCAATAAATTAATTAAACTAAACAGTGGTCCTATTTTCCCTGCAAAAACTCAAATTACCAGTAGCCGAAAGAACTCGTAAAATTAAAGTGGCGGCTCAGGTGAGAGAGCCGATACAATCAACATCTGAAGAAATGACGACGAAATTTCAAATCCTAGTAGATTCTCAGGATATGTATTATATCAAGCAATCACAGAACCTCATGTACGTATCTATACATCAATTGTATGTAAAAAATAAATAAATTGTGTAATTGCTTCTATTAGCGCCTGTAGTTATAATCATTAATCTGCACATTACGAAGATTGCAAGTAGTCATTCGAATAATACACGCCTCTTGCGAACCATGAAATCTAACATTGATCACATCTTTCAAAACCTCAGGTATGTAAATTTCTCCCTTTTGCCATTTTCATTATTTTTATTAAGATATGATTTTTTTTTTTAATGTTTAATTGTTGTAAATCGTTACGTTCTTCTGAATGTGTTAATTATTCTATTGATCTCTCTCAAGTCTAGTTATTCTAAGTTGTGTTTGACTCTGAACATTCATAATTCCCAGAATTTGCATATCATACAATCAATTTGGTTCAATTTGAGTACTACAGAATTTTTTTTAAGATAATTTTGTTGGATCTCATGGAATATCTAAAAACATACTCACAATTTTTTTTCTAAATTTCTTTAAGGATTTCCTTAATGTTCGTCTTGTATAAATTTATAGTTTGATACTCAATTAGTTCAATATTATGTCGAACTTGAATTTCTAGTATCATCGAACATAACTTACTTGTGCAAAATATGGTAATGAGTTTAAAATCTTCACTGATATGATACAAATTGTTATATATATTTATTCTTCAACAACATTCATATTGTTGTGGCTGGCTGATGGAGATGGAGCTAGTCTGAATATTAATTTTCTTTTTGTCAACCTATATACTTTTCCTCCTCTTCTTAAGAAGGAATAAAAATTGTTTAATCCACTTAACCTTACTTTTGTTGTGGAATAAACTTTTGATTTCGGTTCAAGTGTTAATACACTTATATATGATTACACTTGAGGTTTAAACATACAAGTTTACGAATTTCGGATAGTTAGTATGTCATTAAGATTTTGTTTTCAATATGTAGGAGCATGAAAGGAAATATTGTGGCGACCTATCCGAATGCTTTTCCTCATAATTCCACAATTGAGGAACTTGATCAAAGACCAGACCTCGAGTTGGCGAAGTGATTGTATATGTTTAAACTTTTGTGTATTATAACATGGCTCTATGTTTCATGTTTTTTAAACTATTTTTATTACTTTAAGATGCAAGCAACTATCTTGTTTTGAATGTGTAAAATATAAATGTGGGGATTCGGTGGTTGTAAATTCGACCATTGAACTAGTTGTGATTGATTCAAGATATGAACATTGTAAATCGAAACCTAGAGTTACAGTATTTTTTTCTTCTGGAATGGATGTGGTTTGGTTGTGAACTGTGATAAGCTATGTGGGAATTGATATAGGTGATGGAGCTAATTAAACTCCTTCGTTCGTCGAAGAGTATGTCCGGTGCCGGTATTTGTCAAGCGAAGATGATCTAATCGACCGGAAAAAAGTTAAAAACAAGGGGAATTATTCATGTTAAATTTGTGTCGGATCCTTACATTTATTTATATAGGAAAATCTCCAATGGACATTTCCTATTTTATTAGTTTTATGTCCGTACAATA